AATAATAGGGCCCCTTTAAGTGAATGTCTGAACCAAATGTCAAGGCAATCTATGCAGTAGTTATCAAAACATCTCTCTACTACTACATCTTGTAAATGTTGAGATTTTTTACAAGAGAGGTGACCCTATAAATGAAGTCTGCTCCAAATAACTAGTGTTGGTTAAATGCAGAAACTTTATTAGCTCTTTGTGGTTCTCTGTACATGTGACGATAAAAAAGGATGATTCATCCTCTAGGCAAGGTGAATGCCTCAGCCAAATATAATAGCAATCCATTAGTTGCTGAAATATTTCACTGAAATAATTGTTTTCCTCTGGGGACCGTCCATGCACAAAACAGTTGCTGAGTTATTTCGATGTCAACCAGCGTGATGGCATTTTTATCCCCAGAGCCATGGCGATAGCATGACCAAAAAAAACACAAGATTACAGATTACATTCTTGTTTCAATAAACATGAGTACTTATATGCTTTATTTCCCTAGCTCCCAGGTGTAGACAATATGATGTCAAGATGATGAGAAATGTTGGAGATAACTTGCGTAAAGGATCCACAAACTAAAAGCATTTTATTATCCTCTCTCTCTCAGACTCAGCATGAGTAGGGCAGATGGTGATGAAGGCGGAGGTGGCAGCAGTGAAACAGCCCAGCAGACGGAGGAGAAAACTCCAGAGGGGAAGCTCCTGGACAAACTGAGTGCTACTACTAGTAGCCCCGGCTGGACTAAAGTCAGTTGTCCCTGCTGTGAATCGCAGCGGGTGGAGCCTCTGGTTCTGGTGAAGCTCGGAGAGAAAGTTCGCCCTGAGACGAAGAGGTGGCTCATGAGAGTGATCGGAGCTCCTCAGAAAGATGGAGGTGAGGGATCAAATAACATGGATGAGATGACTTACTCCTTTGTCTGTATTGATTGAAACCTTGCAGAGTCTTTTTTTCTCTTTTACTGGAAGCCTATTGACATTTGATGGAATTTATATTTGGATGGCATTTGTTAATGTACTGTATATTACTATAGTTAAGGTAAGATAAGACTTTATTGATCCCGCATAGGCAAATTCATGTCTCTTTGCAACAACAGCAACCATGGTGAAACATGATGAGACAGATAATTCCCAAAAGCACAATAATAGAAAAAAAAGAAATGAAATAATAAAACTGTGAAAAAGTTAAATTAAATTAGGTGTTTACATAAATACAGATAAGTATAATTATGGGTGTCTTAAATATATAAACATGTAAAGTTAAACAATTATAATAGTTAAACAATTTGTATGGAAATGTAAGCCAGCGGTGATAGGGCAGAACACATGATAAAAAGAAGAGCAGCTATGTCCAACCATATTGTTTGCAGGTTAGCACCTCCTTTTAATATCTTTACGACAGTACTTTATTAAAACATGTTTTCATCGTTGTCATCGTGGGGTCAAAGGAGGATCTCTGAAGGAGTAGTTGCTATTTTGATCTCTCCCTATTTTTTTTTTATTAAAACCATATTGCGTTTCCAAAAAGACTTCAAGCGAACATAACTATTGATTGATCCATAAGTATTAATTATTAAAGTATTATTAGTATTAATATATTTAGTATTAAATATGTACCTGAAAAGATTCAGTTACAGCAGTATTACATAAGTAAACCTCATGTAATGGTAAGCAGCACACAGTTAACAACACATACAGTACACTCCTCCAATATTATTAGTTCTTAAAATTGTTCTGTGACAATTATATATATAAATACTGTCCCCCCCCCCCTAGGTGCTGCATTGCTGGCCCATCCGGGCGAGGACGCCACTGGTGACATCATCGTGCTCTCCGCCCCACGCTGCACGTTACTGAGAGCCACTGAAGAGCTGGGCCTCTGTAAGACGTACCACTCCGGGGACATGGAAGCCTTCTCCTACAACGACAGAGACAGCTTCAACGATTCAGGTACGGCAGTGGAGCCATGAATGTGTTCATGAAAAGATAACATGAGAGAGGGTGTGTAGGTAAGTTCTGTAATAGCCTGGGAGGCTGTGGCTCAGTGGATAGTGTGCTGGACTCCGAATCAGGGGATAGCAAGTTTGAGTCCCACTGTAGTCAGCATGTCGTTGTGTCCCTGGGCAAGAGACTTCCACAGTACTGAATGTGTGTAAGTCACTTTGGATAAAAGCGTTTAACAAATGGCATGTAATACAATATTTCTAAGGATAAAATATAAAGGGCCCCTCTGGATGTTATTGAGAAGTACCATTCACATACACGAACACTTTCACACACAACATAAACCAAACACTCTCCTATACACATGTGAAACTTATATACAAGTGTGAGATGTGAAACCCTCCCTTTCACACACACACATGTGAAATTCTATCATATAAAAGAGTGATTTTCAGTATGTTTCAATAGAAGATGTTTGATCCCACACAAATTACAAGGGCAACAGGTAGTTTTACTTTTTTACACTCTCGATGTTGCCTTTACCAGTTTCTCTTATTTCTGTTTGAAAAAATCCAAGAATTCTACCAGCTTATAAAATGTTTATCATTTAATTTTTCTGATGAGATTATAGTAGTATCCTGTTTGTTTCTTATTTTTTTAGTGGCGTTCAATTTGCCAAATAAAAGCATTACTAAATTAAACTCCCATCGGCCTCAAATAAGTCACTGTTAGCATGCTACCATGCTAAATGACGTCCATTGAAGAGAACTACTAGATAAAATTAGACATCTGTTAGTATTGCCATTGTCAGCATGTTAGCATGCTAATCGCTGAGCATGTATTTCAAGTAGCCCAGGCCTACAGCCTCACAGAGCAACTGGTATGTGACAGATATCCTTTGAAAAAATCATATAACTGTTGGGGAAATATTTTCCAAGGCCCATAACTTTGACCCAGTTTATCAGTTCAAACTGTCCTGACTGAGCACACGCACCTGTAACCTTGACTGCTGTGCTCTGTGTTTTGTCTCCCTGTTCCTGCCTGTTGGCATCAGCTGATAGAGGTGTTCATTCAACACAGTCTCACGGCATTTCGTGTTATGGTCACAAAATGAATCTATTGATTCGTGTTCACCAACACGGTTTCGCCATTTTTTTCTTGTCACA